GTGCCAGCTGCTATAAAATTCTATCAGTTCCTCTAGCTCTGCAATGTCACTATATTGTAAATAAGGTTGTCAAGCTAAAGTCTGGAATGAAAAGAACTACCCTTGCAGTGGGTCCCCCCTGCACTGCAATGGTGAAATGCTCTATAAGGAGTAAGCCGTAATACTTACGGTATTCCTCGCTTTGGCCAGCTTCCAGTGCTCTTTTCTTCTGTTTAAGATTGTGGGCAGGCTCTCGCCATCCTCACGTACAATGCAGGACTATTGGTTCTGCATGGTATGTGATGACTTCAGTGTGTGACCACCGGCCAGACACCCTAAAAAAAAGCTTCAGGGGACTGGATGCACAGCACGCAGGAAGCCGGGTAGAGCGAGGAATAAGGGAGGTATTGCACCTAATTCCTCTAGGCTTTGCAAGCACTGCAAGGGTAGATTTTTTGCTGGTGCCAAGTGTGGGGCTTTAACACAGGTTACAGGGTTGACCATTGGTTCTGAAACTCCAATCTTTCATGCAGGGCAGATTATTGTCCATAAATCACCAGCTGGACTGGGAAATCTAGTTCTTGTACTAGAGTGGTCCTTTAGTCCACTTCAATATCCCATGCCAGCTCTTGCAGACCTATGGTCAACGAGTAAATAAGTGGGCAATGGAGTTTTATAATGGCACGTGCACAGAATTATGGGTGTGCTCTTCTGTTCTGCCATGGACGGTCCGAGACTTTATGATTTTTTTATGCAAAGTGCAAAGTCCAGATAAGGCATCTACATGATAGTGATCTAGTATACCCCTAAGGTTATGCATGCATCATTATTGCCTGCTGGCCTTCCCAGTCAGTGTGAGGGGGAAGACCTTCATTGCATGGAACCCCAAACAGGCAGATGTGGATTCTCCTTTCCCACAAGGAAGTGAACCGGTAAAGGGGTCTTCTGAACCCCATTTCTAGCTGCCTGATCAGAGTGCAGATAACCGGCAACCTGCGCCAAACATGCGATTACCGTGGATTGCCTATATTGGCTGCAAATCATAGTTTGGACGAATCAATCCGCTCACCAGTAGCTCTTTTCCCTCCTGCTTTGGAGTCTTCTGCTTTGGGGCTAGATGACAAAGCAAATGTTTCTTAGAGTTCGTAATCGAAGAGCTATTGAAAATAAATGACGGCTTGTAAAAACCAAATAATGCGGATTGATGGGAGACGCCGAGTCTGTGTACACACCTACATTTCCATAATGTCACAGCAGCATGAGTCTGCATAGATATGACTTGCAAGATTAGCCAGTAATGCATAGTCTCTGCATCTGTTCTTTTTCAGCATTCCATTGGATAACTGGTGAGTGCAGCAAGAAGGTCTGGTAAAAATAGACACGCTTAGGCCATCTCGCTGTAAAGGAGGGAAGTTCTGATTGGCTGCTTCCTCTGTCAGCAAAGGAGACTACACCCAAAGGGCGTGTTTCGACTGAGTGAAAAGTTAATTTTTCAGCTACAAACTCAATAAATCCTTTTCTTGTATTTCCACTATTATCCATTGACTGGGAGGGGCATGCTGTGCTTAGTCATCCAGGCACATTGTTAGAAAGCAGCCTGTAGGCTTATAAGAAGGTGATCCACCTTTGTAGACTTATAAGAAGTTAGTTCACCTCTGAAGACTTATGTGGAAGCAGTCCAGCTTTGAAGACCTTTAAGAAGACAATCCAGCATTGAAGACCTTTAAGAAAGCAGTCCATCTCTACAGACTTATAAGAAGGCAGTCCATCTCTGTAGACTTATAAGAAGGCAGTCCACCTCTGTAGACTTATGTGGAAGCAGTCCAGCATTGAAGACCTGCAAGAAGACACTATAGCATTGAAGACCTTTAGGAAGACAGTCCACCTCTGTAGACTTATAGGAAGACAGTCCACCTCTGTAGACTTATAGGAAGACAGTCCACCTCTGTAGACTTATAGTTAGACAGTCCACCTCTGTAAACTTATAGGAAGACAGTCCACCTCTGTAGACTTATAGAAAGACAGTCCACCTCTGTAGACTTATAGTTAGACAGTCCACCTCTGTAGACTTATAGGAAGACAGTCCACCTCTGTAGACTTACAAGAGGGCAATCCACCTCTGTAGACCTATACAAAGACAGCTCACCTCTGCAGACCTACATACAAGAACATCTTCAGCAGCTATTGTTCCCAGAGTGTTCTGCGTCCTCCCCCAACTCTGTCATGGCTTGCAAGAAACTTATTACCGTCCTAGGAGCCACAGGTAAGAGAAGGAACACTGGCGATGCAAAGAGATGTAAACCCTAACTGAATGACATTTCCTTTACTAAAGCACAATGCATTATGAACAACTAGAATTTATCATACATTTTTGGTTTTATCTTTTTTTCATGCTTTTTTGCATCTTAATGCTGCTAATCTCCTCCAATCTCTTCCAGCCACTTTCTGTCTATATGCACTCGCATGTCTTTGCTCTGGACCTGCTTCCTATAATAAAAACAATGGACCATGCCTGCACAATGTGTGTTGTCATAGCCACTTGTAGTCTTCAACAAAGGAGCATGTGACAGAGTGTCAACAAAGGAGTACAACTGGGAGCCAGTTGTCACCCAATGATGGGAAGTGCCTCAGCAAGCACTTTCATGCCAGTATCACCTGGTAATATTTTAAAGTGAACTCCGTGATAAGCAAACATTGTCTAAATACAAGAGTCCTGTGTATCCTTCTTTGGATCTTGGTGTGTTTGTGTATTTCTTCCAGATCTGTGCAGTAATCCAGTGTGGTTGCCCAAATGGTATGTCACTTTGCTTTCCAGGCAAACTAGTGACTGAAGAAGAGCAAGGAACGTGTAGAAAGTAGCATAGGGGGCTGTATAAAGTGGACTTTGCCGTGCATGAATTGCTACAAAGTTACAATGTTGCAGTCTGATCACTGGGGGAGAGGAGACTGAGGAAATGCTTCCTCCTGCTCGCAGCTCGCAGCTCGATGACATCATCTCGGCCCAGATAAAGTTTCGATGCTATAGCACAAAGATTTGTTTTTAAAGTGACACTGTCATGAGAAAAGTATATGGGCTGCTGTTGCAGGTTGTCTTTTAAAAATTTTAGTTGCCGGGTTGTGTCAATTCTTTTGAGTTACAGACCAAGAAGAAGCATGGTGTAAATGAGTGTCAGAATTCCTTATGCTTGTTGCAGGTCAGAGACTCAGAAAGAATTGGCGTTCAAGCTTCAGCATGACAGCCAGGGAACCAACATTCTAAAAGAAGGGATCAGCAATGGTGGCTCCCATACCTTTCTCATGACAGAGTCACTTTAATGGTAAAAGGCTGGTAAAGGGTGCAGGTTTTGAAGAGTATATTGCTGCTGTATATCAGGAATCCATGAAGACCTGTAAGATCCACTTCCACACTGTGTTCCCAAAACCTATGTATGTTCACCTGTCCAATGCCCTTCTTGCAGGAGCCCAAGGTGGTTCAGTGGTCAGAGCTCTTCTACAGGACAGCTCGTTTGCGGTCAGGGCGGTCACACGTGATGTCAGCAAACCGGCTGCTGTGAAGCTGAAGGAAGCCGGCGCGGAGGTGGTAGCTGCGGATATGGACGATGCAAAGAGCCTGAAGGAGGCATTCAGTGGAGCTTATGGAGCTTTTGTGGTCACCAACTTCTTTGATCACTTCAGTAAGGAGAAAGAAGTGGCACAGGTAATAGTTTCTATTAGTGACTTTATATACATGTGAGGTAAAAGGAGAGTTACACAACACACAAAGTTAAATGAGTCACAGGAACCAATGGGCTCATTAAGAACCCAACTATGTTTTTGGGGGCTATGCTTCCCTTCATCAAGGCTTGTAAAAAGTAAATCAAGTAACAGATACACCAGAAGTATCAGAGATACCTTTAATATGCACATGGTTCTAATGAAACTAAGCACTTAACCTGCTCTAGCACCTGTTTGGGCATGGGTGCTCTAGCACTAGTGCCCAAACAGGTGCTAGAGCATGTTAAATACTGGCTTGACATCTCATCTCACAGGTAGACTGGCTTCTTTATAAGCTGTATCTGTGAAAGAAATGACCAGTAGAGTTGTCTTCTGTATGTTAGAGTTGACCATGACTTGATGTACTCCAATAAGAAGTAAAACGGTTTGTTTGCTTACAGATTACAATATTGCACCTATTTTTGTAACTCCTAATGATGCCTTGACTACAATGGCTGCCATGTGGTTTCTTGTGTTGCAGGGAAAACGGATCGCAGATCTGTGCAAACAGCTGGGTCTACAGCACGTGGTCTTCAGCGGTCTGGAAAATGTCCACAAACTGACCGGGGGCAAGCTGGAGGTTCTTCACTTTGATGGGAAAGGGGAAGTGGAGGAATATTTCAGGCAGATTGCTGTCCCCATGACCAGTGTGAGGCTTGCCTTCTACTTCGAGAACTTCCTGAGCGTCTGTAGGCCACAGAAAAGCCAGGACGGCAAGACGTATCAGCTGGGTAAGATTGTAATGGGGATATTGTGTACATACAGCTATATTTGTAAGGGTTGAACAGATACCAAGTACAGTACTCGGTACAAGTACGGGTACATGTACCGATACTTTTGAGCTCCAAGACTAGACTAGAGAAAAATTCAAAAATTAGGAGGCAGCTGTCATGTGTAAGGAGCACACGGAGCTCCTTGGATTTCTACATCTCTGTTATAATGTACGATTTTGTTTTTATAAATATAAATAAAGGGATGCACAGATACCAGTTATGCGAGTACGAGTACTGGTACTTGCTGAGTACTTACAATACGAGTACTGATACATTTTTGTTTATTGTCCTGTGAGGAGAGCCATGGTGAGGGAATGCAGACAGCTTCAGTGAGGAGCCAAGCCTAGGGATCATAAGAGGCAACATCCCTCTTTGGATTCAAGGCAAATATTGAATTTGGGAATCCAAATCCCTACATATTGCATAACGAATGCTTTGTCTAAAGTAGATGACCGCGCGTGTGTTTTTTGTGGCTGTGTTCAGGCTGCAATTGCACCTTACTCCCCCTATAGAGAACAATCGTAATCCAAGGTCTGAACAATGCAGAAAACATTTGGACCCCCATACCCATATGCTCTGTTCTCCACCTGCATAGTGTGAACTGAGCTATTACAGATAATTAGAATTCCAGTGGTGTCCATTGAGTTCATTTAAATGCAATTATATAAATGAATACATGCCAATTGTTTTATATTTCGCATTGCTCTCTCTTTAAACTTTCTATTAGTCCTTCCCATGGGAGACATTCCAATGGATGGAATATCTGTTGCGGATCTTGGCCCCATTGTCCGCAGCGTCCTGCTGAATCCCTCTGAATACATTGGAAAGGATATCGGGCTGAGTGCGGATAAGCTAACCATCAAACGATATGCAGAGATCATGTCCAAGGTGATCGGCAAGACCATCGTAGACTCCAAGGTGAGGCTGATTATATTCCGCCGTCCATCCACTACTTGTTTCTGGCGATGTTGCCATAATCTTTAAGGGTGTTATAGTGCTAAAGAGGTGTTTAGTGTGATAGTTCTTGCCTGGGCATCACCCACACAGGGGAGGGAATGGAGGGATTTATAGCTGGTATTACTCGTGAAAATCGGAGTTGACGAAGGCGACCATCATGCTTGGCTTAGTGTTGGAGAATCTTTCTTTCTAAACTTTTTTGTTGTGCACACAGATCCCCCCCGAGGTGTACGAAAAACTCGGCTTCCCAGGAGCAGATGAGATGGCCAATATGTTCCGGTTCTACCACATGAGACCTGACCGCAGCATGGAGGTGACCCGCAGGCTGAACCCCGACCTGAAAACCTTCGAACAGTTTATGGTTTCCAAGAAGGAAGCTTTTACAGACTTATAATATGACATTACCTACTACATGTATCAGCATGAGAACGTGTTTTTTTAATCATAAAGTGGCCTTTTTTACATGAGTAACGGTGTTGTGTTGTTGCTTCTCAAATCACTCACAATTCACTGCTGTAGCCATTATCATTTAGCTCTACCACAAGATCCTATGATGGACCTCAGCCTAGTAAACTCCTAAATCATTTCTGAAACCAGTAAAACATAAAAAAAGTTATATTGTCTTCTATTCATCTAAAAACATGTTAAAGGAGAACTATGAGGTGATTGTTTTTCACTCACCTCATATTTCTAGCCGCCCGGTGACAATGAGACTGTCACAGGTCGGCTCAGTAGATCGGGAGGTGAGCGAACATATACCGGCATTCGCTCACCTCTCGATCCTGTCACGGCTCTCTGCCGTGACAGGGGAGGGGCTGGATTCCCCCCTCCCCGCTCTGATCCTCCAGCGCTGACTGGCAGAATGGACGGGGGAGGGGGCGGGTACAGCTGGCTCTGCCTCTAGATAGGCAGAGCCAGCTGTCACTCACGCAGCTGGGCGGATCTCGGCATCGATGTCGGGATCCGCTCCGGCTGCGGCGTCTCAGTACACCGCGAGCTGTAGCTTGCGGTATACTGAGCTTAGGGTGACGGGAGGACGCTAGTTTGTGTCCTCCCGTTACCCTAAGGAGAACTATGGGGAAAAGCCCTGACCCCATAGTTCTCCTTTAAAGCTGATCTCTGGGCACAAACAGGTTCATTTAAGTTTATTCCTCAAGAGCCACAAATGAAATAACGTTGTGTTCACCAAATGCCATTAATACCCAGATACAACCTTGTACAGGTAGCATTGACATTATAACTGTGCTATACATAGCCTGTGCATAGAGCAGATACGAAAATACCAAAGTTCTCCAGAGATCCGAATCCACTAAGTGTAACCCTTTAATTGAGTTAAACGCTCATCCATACGGTCTTGTAACCAATATACATGTAGCGATAACTCCCTGCAAGGAGCCGCTGTTTGCCCGGTCCACATCTAGTCAGTCTAGGGGTTGATTTCCAGCTGCACCCATTAGCACTAACCGCCCTCTTCTGGTGCCCATAAATTGATGTCCACTTCAGTGATATGATGCTAGTTGAACATTTTATTGAACTTCTTATTAGGGACACATACTGTGTCGACGCATTTCGCACCGCCCACCGGGGCTTCGTCAGAACATCTTATGAACATCACCAGATCATGTGAGACAACCGCAATTGCAACGAATCCATAGGACACGAGACTTTGGGATCTATCGATCCAATGGGGTCTGAAACACCTACTTGTGGGTAAGATTGCCCTGCGGGAATGCTCAATAATCTTCACCCGAGGTGTTTCCCCCTTAACACGGAGGATATAACTACTACGGTGTCCCCTGACTGTCACTTCCGGGTCTGTGGAGTCCCCAGATGTTCCTAGATTTAAGCGATCCTACGGCACCAATGTGAACATTGTTTGCTTGTCAGGCTTTCACCATTGAATACCACTGGATCTGGCTATATGCCAGCCGCCACAATACTATGAATATAAATGCCTAAATGTTTCTACACGAGCGTCCTGCAACAATGTTCATTTCTTATATATGATACAATATACCTATTACAGCAGAAGGAGGATTCCCATCTTGAGAAATCCCTGCCATACTGTTTTCATTATGATATAAAACCGGTTCCATCTCTGCAATCCAATATCATCTCATCAGGAGTCCTGTGGTTGTTCCTATTGCCTATTGCATGTGTGGGGCCCTTTTGTTTGAATGTGAGAGTGCAAGATAGATGCTGACAACGTTGTCAATTTGATTGTGTTCATGGGAAGAAGCAAGCTGATGGTGTGTTTTAACATATGTTCAATAAAACTTTTTGTACTCATATGCTAGTCCCGGTCTTTATGGTAACTGCTTTTGTTCAGCGATGCTCGATCTCTGAATTTCCTTTTTTCTATGTGCATAGAGCAGAGCAGTGGCAGGGGCCCCTCAGACTCCATCTACTACAGGCTTCCTGCAGGTAACTACAGGAGGGGGCGGAGACAAGACCTGTCACCCTGCACAAGGATAGAGAGCAGCAGTGACCGGTCTTTATTACAGGAGGGGGCGGAGACAAGACAAGTCACCCTGCACAAGCAGAGAGGGGAGCAGTAACCAGTCTTTATTACAGGAGGGGGCGGAGACAAGACCAGTCACCCTGCACCAGGATAGAGAGCAGAAGTGACCGGTCTTTATTACAGGAGGGGGCGGAGACAAGACCAGTCACCCTGCACCAGGATAGAGAGCAGAAGTGACCGGTCTTTATTACAGGAGGGGGCGGAGACAAGACCAGTCACCCTGCACAAGGATAGAGAGCAGCAATGAGTGGTCTTTATTACAGGAGGGGGGCGGAGACAAGACTAGTCTCCTTGCACAAGGATAGAGAGCAGCAGGGACTGGTCTTTATTGCAGGAGGGGGCAGAGACAAGACCAGTCATCGTGCACAAGGAGAGAGAGCAGCAGTGACCGGTCTTTAGTGCAGGAGGAGACAGAGACAAGACCAGTCACCCTGCAGTGTTCTGCCCCTCCAACCCTCTACTCCAGGTACAGAGCAGCGGAGGAGCAGAGGAAAAGATAAGTACGTGCAGCTGTGGGGACTGACTCTATAGTGAAGCCATGGCTTTGACCTGTAAAGTCACTTTAAAGAGTCATTCAACTTGCCCCAGTGAATTTGGGAAAATGGAATCCCCTCCCCCAATCAATCAGATATGACCAATTGTCCAGCGTGGGTGTTGTGCTCTCCAATATCATGGTAAAGCAATCATCTTTGTGTGATCAAAACTGTTCTTTACTTCTTTCCATGCAACTTAGTTTCCTTGGTAAATCTTCTCATGTATGCAGTCGGATGCTGCGGATATTGCACATCCTTGTTTTGTGTCCGTGAGCCCATTGGTGCTTTTTTAATTAACTTTCTTTGACCGCTGTATAAAACCGGAATATTTTCCAATAAAACTTTTTTGGGATTAAAAATTAAATAAATGACAGTTGGGAAGACATCAATGGTACGATATTATAGGTGCCCATACACCTTACAATTATCTGCAGAGTTTCTGTGGTCAGATGTAAAAAGTGCAACAGATTCCTCCATCCGCGCTAAACTGTGCGGATGGAGGAATCTCCCGCTGGGCCAAGCTTCAGTATCTTGCTAGTCGGCTCCACTGGCTGTCAAAATACCTGAACAATCTGATTGGACGCCGGCGGGGCCGACTAACAAGATTACTGAAGCTTGGCCCAGCGGGAGATTCCTCCATCCACACAGTTTAGCGCGGATGGAGGAATCTGTTGCACTTTTTCCATCTGACCACAGAAACTCTGCAGATAATTGTAAAGGTGCCCACACACCTTGCGATAATCGTACGATAGTCGCTGGAAATACCGCGATCGTACGATTATCGTAAGGTGTGTGGAAGGCGTGCAACCTCTGCTACTGTAAGGTCGCAGGACTTTTATCATAGGAACATGTTCGAAAACACGCCGAACATCGTACAATTTTCGGCGGGTGTGTAGCATGTTCGTAAGATAAAAGCTGCACGGGCCGGTGTGCGCAAGCGCACACTGCCCCTTCAGCATTGCGGTCATCGGAAGCCCAACCCTCAGCGGGGCGGGCTTACGATCATCGCAAGTACCATCTGCCTGTCCAAAGATGGGCAGATTGTACGTTTTTAAAAATTACCTTACAACCATCGCAAGACAAAAGTCTTGCGATGGTTGTAAGGTGTGTGCCCAGCTTTAGGTGTATGGCCAGCTTATATAAGATGACAGATTTCTTCGACACACCTTCTTTTACATCTTGTCACAGCAGCATGACAGGGCATAAATATTGCACGGCTCTGACTTGCAAGCCGGTGTGGTAATAGAGTTTACGCTTTCATTTTTTTTTTTTTCCGCATTTGATTGCTGAGTGCAGCGAGAGATTCCAGGAGAAATAAATACATGTGCATAGGAATGCCTGAGGGGAGAGCCCTGATTGGCTGCTTCCTCTGCCAACAAAACCAACACCCAACAGACGTCCTGCCAAGTGAGTGAAAAATAAGACGTCTTCAATTATCTGCAGCAATATTAATCAATCCTTTTTTTGAGCAGGGAGGGGTGCAAATTGCTGAGCATCAGCAACTAGGGGGGGGTGGAACACGCAGCTACAGAAGAAGTCAGTCCACCTCTGTTGGCTTACAAGGCAGCACCTCTTTGAAGCCCAACGTTGTGCATCCTCAGCCATGGCTACCAAGAAAATGATTACTGTCTTTGGAGCCACAGGTGAGTGAAATAAAGTCGAGCATAGACACTAGATGGCAGTCAGATGAAAGCAAGTCATTCAGTAGAAGGTATTTACCTTCCAGCCCATGATTCTGTGACCTGCGGAGTTCAATGCCAGCCGGGTTCATCTCAGGTGAACAAATGGGCGATCAGCAGCTCGGGTCCATTAGGGTCATCGGCTCTTACTCCAGAAAATAGCTTTTGTTGCAGTTTTTAGCAAAGCGGGGGAAGGGTTGGAAATTCTGTCAGGTTGTAAAGCTTCACTATGGCCACCGTAAAAAGTAATATTATTGCCGCTCTTCCCCCTGCTCAGCTGCAGGAATTGGGGGTGATCTGAGGTGTGAAGCTGCAGGAATTGGGGGTGATCTGAGGTGTGAAGGTGCAGGAATTGGGGGTGATCTGAGGTGTGCAGGAATTGGGGACGATCTGAGGTGTGCAGGAATTGGGGACGATCTGAGGTGCGCAGGAATTGGGGACGATCTGAAGGTGCAGGAATTGGAGTTGATCTCAGATGTGCAGGAATTGGGGATGACCTGAGGTGCGCAGGTGCAGGAATTGGGGATGACCTGAGGTGCGCAGGAATTGGGGATGACCTGAGGTGCGCAGGAATTGGGGATGACCTGAGGTGCGCAGGAATTGGGGACGACCTGAGGTGCGCAGGAATTGGGGATGATCTGAGATGTGCAGGAATTGGGGACGACCTGAGGTGCGCAGGTGCAGGAATTAGGGATGACCTGAGGTGCGCAGGTGCAGGAATTGGGGATGATCTGAGATGTGCAGGAATTGGGGGTGATCTGAGGTGCGCAGGTGCAGGAATTGGGGATGATCTGAGGGGTGAAGGTGCAGGAATAGGGTCTGATCTGAGGGGTGAAGGTGCAGGAATTGGGGATGATCTGAGGGGTGAAGGTGCAGGAATTGGGGATGATCTGAGGTGTGCAGGAATTGGGGATGATCTGAGATGTGCAGGAATTGGGGATGATCTGAGGTGTGCATGAATTGGGGATGATTTTTGGGGGGTGAAGGTGCAGGAATTGGATTCTGAATTGAGAAGTTTTCTATGCGCCATGACTCCTTCTAGTGCCAGTAACTCAGAATGATTCAGCCGAGTGGAAGACTGATACATAACCCCCTAATGTGGAAAAGGTTGCCGACCCCTGAGGTCATAGATTCACTTTGGGAAGCGCATGACTAGCTCCATTTGGCAGCTTTGGGACATGTACATAATTGAACAAATTAAAATATAATTGACCCAAAACCATTATCGTCTCTCTATAAAGTCATGCTCAGTGATAAAAGGCTTTGAAATACTTTCAGAACGTGCTGTATTCTGTGGTACAGACTCCCTCCAGTGGTGAGTCATGTGACTAATGCCATGGCTAAGGGATCCTCCCATCTAATAAGATTACTGGCCTGAGCCTATGTTGTACTGACAGTCAGGCTTGGGAAACAGTCACCGTGCAGAAGCCAAGAACCTAGTTACACAATGCCGAGGGCAAAGCACCATATAATCTCAGGTTATAATTGATTAAACAGAACGCACCCACCTCCAGGACACCTCCCTACTGGCATTACTCCCAGGGAAAGGACACTGAGATTGCCACCATGGCATGTATCATTAGAATGGCATACAGAAAAAAAAGGGGGCTAATGCTCTATATTTCGGCTGAACTCCCAGGAAAAATATACAAGACACAAATGTATGCAGCTAAGTGTCCATTTAATAAATATATGTGTTTGATGTATTATGTAAATACTACAACTAGCGTAAGTACCTGAATTTGACTTTGTGTCATCCTTGCAATCCCCTGTAAAGCAGCAATTAGTTGTGGCGAGGGAGTGGCAGCAATTGGAGCCAATCAGTTGTGCTGCATGCAAAAGTACTGAAGAAATATGCTTACGGGAGGAGAGAGCGGAATGAGCAAAGGGATGACCTCATCACAGGGGCGTCCCAAGGCTGGGACCCCCCTGTGATCGCGCATGCGCAGCCGTTTTATTGACACGTCAGGGCAAGGGGGCGCAGCCAGGCCGGCCCTGTCTGTGCCCCCACTTAGCTGCGCCTGAGGCGAGTGCCTCACTCGCCCCATGGTAGCTACAGCCCTGTTCATGTATATTGTAAATATTATGTACGGTACTACAGGCACTGATATGGTGTCAACAATTTACACAGCACTTTACATATTGAACATTCACATCAGTCCCTGCCCCCGAGGAGCTTACCATCTAAGGTCCTTATCTCACATGCATACACATATAAGGGCAAATTTAGACAGGAGCCAATTAACCTATCAACATGTCTTTGGCGTGTGGGAGGAAACTAGAGTATCCGAGTACCAGATTAATTCCATGCAAACATGGGGAGATCTTCAGTATGTACTCCATCTTGGTTACCTGTCCGATTCCCTTCTTGCAGGATCGCAGGGATGTTCAGTGGTCAAGGCACTCCTAAAGGACTGCTCGTTTTCGGTCAGGGCGGTGACTCGTGATGTCACTAAACCGGCAGCGCAGAAGATGAAGGAAGACGGCGTGGAGGTCGTAGCTGCGGATCTGAACGATGAGGAGAGTGTGAAAGCCGCGCTTAAAGGAACTTATGGAGTTTTCGTGGTCACCAACTTTTGGGAACATATGGATAAGAATAAGGAGGTTGAACAGGTAATAACTGCTGGTGGCGGCTTCACTTAGCTGCGAGGTTTGTCCTAACTGGAAACGTTTATACAGAATGTCATAAATCAGCGGTCACCAACCAATGGTCCGTGGACCACGAGAAAATTTTGCTGGTCCGCAGAAAAATCTGGACATTATTTGCATTTTTTTGTTAATAATAAAACAAAATAATATTCTAATAAATTCTTATATTCTGAATGACAATTTTGGCCTTTTATATTGCACTAAATTCACGAACTGTACTAGAGAGGGGGAAACGAGAGGCGCAGCATGACGTCAGGGTAGTCCTCAGTTGTATGAGGCAACTGTTGCCGAGGCGTACACTTCAGTATTGTTACGACCAGGGGCGAACTGGGTCAGGGGGCAGGGAGGCAATTGCCCCCCGGGCCCCTCTGATGTCCTGCAGGCTGGGACGTCATTGAAGCGGCACGGAGGCTCCGGGGCTGCCTCTCACTGATTCGAGCCACGGCTGTCACAAGGAATGCGCGGCTCTCAGTACAGGCAGCACAGGCTGCCAGTGATCTGAGAAGTGGCGTGCTCCTTATCATAGCCGTAAAGCATTTACGATTTTGTTATAATTAAATAGGTGCATTTCATATTAATGGAAGTTCTCTGATCATTATTTTACAAATGTATTTGGTTCGTGGGTAGGGGGGCGCATTGAGGAACCTGGCCTTGGGGCAGCAGAGAGAGTAAATCTGGCCCTGTTTGTTGTGGTGTGTGATATTGCCCTTTACTTTCAAAGGTCACAAGGTAACTCCCGATGAAGCCCTTTGCTTTGTTTCTTGTGTTGCAGGGAAAACGGATCGCAGATCTGTGCAAAGAGCTGGGCCTACAGCACGTGGTCTACAGCGGTCTGGAGAACGTCCACAAACTGACCGGGGGCAAGCTGGAGGTTCTTCACTTTGATGGGAAAGGGGAAGTGGAGGAATATTTTAGGCAGATTAAAGTCCCCATGACCAGCGTGAGGCTTGCCTTCTACTTCGAGAACTTCCTGACCGACAGTAGGCCGCAGAAATTCCAGGACAGCGAGACGTATCAGTTAGGTAAGATTGTAATGGGCATATTGTGTACACACGGCCAAAGTTATACTCATTATTATTATGATATAATTAAATGTAATAAACCAGATGATCTTCATGACAAAAGTGAATGCACAGGTAAACAAAAATCCTTGTGGACCGTTTATAACATCTGGAAGATCTACAGATGATCACCAAGGTGCAGAACTTTGTCTGTATTTCAGGGATCTGATTGAAGGATTTATAACATATTTCAGTTTTTATCTGTTTCTACTATGGAAGAGGAAAGTCAATAAGTCCACGGTGACAGAACCCTCCCCTTTTCACGGTGACAGAACCCTCCCCTGACTTCCTGTGGAGGCAAATGTTGAAACTGGGAACCAAAATCCCTGCCAGTTAAAGGCCACCTAGGGCTACAGTTTGAATACTGGAGGAAGATGTAGATGGCCTTCTATGGTGTGCGGTCTCAGTCTACCCCAGAGGTAGGCAACCTTGGCAATCCAGCTTTGGTGAAACCACAAATCCCACAATGCATCTGCCTCTGGGAGTCATGTCTGGTGCTGTCAGTCTTGCAGTGCCTCATGGGATTTGTAGTTTCACCACAGCTGAAACGCAAAGGTTGCCTGCCTTTAGTCTGCCCTGATGGTGGCCTTGACCTGCCATTTCACTTTTGAGACTCTAATTATATAGCTTCCAAATCAGCCATCTTCTTTTTTTTTTTTTTTCTCCACTTGAAAAGGCCAACTTTCTGCCTTCCAGACCAAGTGTCTGTAGCTGTTCACCAACTGTCCCCCTGGTGTTCACCATTTTCAGCACAACCCTCAGCGTAACTTTTGTAAAGTATATCTAAAACTAATACTCTTTTCATGCTGATTTCTCCTTATTTGGAGGTTTTTCCTCCCGTTTTTTCTGTAGGACAGGATGTGAAGGGAATGCAGAAGATCCTGCTGATTTCTCCTTACTTTGGAGAGATTTTCTCTCACTTCCTGTTGTGTCTCTAGGACAGGAAGTAAAGGGAATGCATATGTTTCCTGTGATTTCTCCTTACTTTGTAAAGATTTCCTCTCACTTCCTGTTGTGTCTTTAGGAAAGGATGTGAAGGGAATGCAGAAGATCCTGGTGATTTTGCCTTACTTTGGAGAGATTTCCTCTCACCTCCTTGTGTCTCTAGGACAGGAAGTAAAGGGAATGCATAAGTTTCCAGTGATTTTTCTCCTTCCTTTTGAAGATATTGCCTCTCCTGTTGTGTCTCTTCCCTGATTGAACCATAAAGCTATTACAACTCTCTCATTGGTCTGTTTTCCTTTAGTCGTTCCCATGGGAGACATTCCGATGGATGGGATATCTGTGGCAGACCTCGGTCCAATTGTCTGCAGCGTCCTAAAGAATCCCTCGGAATACATTGGGAAAGATATCGGGCTGAGTGCGGATAAACTAACCATCAAACAATATGCAGAGATCATGTCCGAGGTGATCGGCAAGACCATCGTAGACTCCAAGGTGAGGGTCATCATAGTCTTGGTGACTGTCTACTTAATTCTGGTGATTTTGCCATCCAGACATTTTTGTCCTGGACTTTAAAGCAGAACTCCATTTTTTATGTTGATTTTAGTTATCTGTTATAGCAGAGTGCCTCCCCACTGCAATCCTGTCACAATCTGGATCAGGCTCGGAGTCCAGTAGCTGAAACAGCAGGCAAAGTCGTAGTTCGGTACACAAGCAGACGGTAGTAGTATAGGAGCAGGCAGAAGCGTAGTCAGAGATCAAGCCGAGGTCAGTAGCCAGAGGTATCGGGTATGAAGTGGAAGACGATGAGAGTAGTCGGTGAATCAGCAGCCAAAGGTCGGTACACGAGTAGCAGTATGAGCAGATTGTATCACAGGAGGAGCAAGGAACAAGATATTGGCAGGAGCACAATAATCTGACAAACAGGAAGTGCAGAGGCATGGCTTAAATAGGAAGTTCAAGGGAGGAGTTCAGAGTTCAGCAGAAATTAGGTTTAACTGAGGATTACACAGGAGATCAGGCAAGGAGCTATCCAAGGTTCTAAGGTGGCTCAGCAGGTAGAACCAGCGCCAGCTACAGCAGAGGCTCTGGGTTCAGTTCCTGACAAATCCTCTACTCCAGGGGCGTCCCGAGGCTGGGTGACACCGCTGAGACGTCACTGCGCATGCGCGTGACGTCACCACGCCCGTACGTGATGACGTCATCGCGCACGTGCGTCAGTATGCTGATACCTGCTGGCGGCCATCTTGATGATGGACGCCGGCAGAGAGAGGAGGGGACAGTCACCCGGCGGGATAAGGTATGCCGCCGGGTCCCCTCCTCTCTCCTGATACTGTTGGGCGTTCGGTCCATGACCGAGCGCCCGACTTTTCAGAGGGGGTGACACCAAAATGACTGAGTCATTTTGGTGTCACCCCTCCAATGGTGGCACCCGGGTGCGGGCCGCACCCCCCTTGTGACGCCACTGCTCTACTCCATCACCTTTGATGTTCCTTTAAATGTATGGAGTGATCGTATGAAATATGAAGGGGTTCCCCAATCAAAATGATACTTCCGGCTGTGCGATATCCAGCATCGCATAGCCGCTGTTGATTTTACCCCCCTGTAGTTCCAGACGCCATCACCATGCCCTCTCGCTCTTGCTCACAGTCATGGTTGGGAGGGCTCAGGGGTGATAAACTTATTTCATAATTGTGTTTTTGCTTTAAAAAGTCTTCCTCCTAAACTCCTCTTGCTGTGTATGCAGATTACCCCAGAGGCATACGGAAAACTCAACTTCCCAGGTGCACAGGAGTTGGCCAGTATGTTCTTATTCTACCACATGAAACCTGACCGCAATGTGGAGCTGACCCGCAAACTCAACCCCGACCTTAAAACCTTCAAGCAATTTATGCAGTTACACAAGGAAGCTTTTAATTACTTGTAATGCCGTCATATCTATTGTATATCGGCCTGTAAATCTACCTACTCTACATGGATAAAGATGACTGTTTTCTAAATCACTCAAAACTCGTTGTTTATATAGTCTATTATAATTTATTTAGCCTGGTATATCTTTATATAGTCTATTGGACTAGCCATTAATCTGCTGCCAGGTTCGCTGTTGGGAAGAAGGAAGTAGGCTTCAGCAGCGAAAATCTCGCTCCTGATGCCTTTTCTCTTTGCCGCCAAGTCACTATCTGACCTGCTGGCGATTTCTTATAGTCTGTTGTCTCCACCTCGTGGTGAATGATGAGATTGCAATCTTACAATTACAGGTCTGAACAGTTAGGCTGGGCACACACCTTACGATTATCGTACGACTAACCTTAAATTTTCGAACATGCTTAAAAGACGAAAGTCGTACGATTGTACAGTACTGTCGGTCGCACACTGCCCACACACCTTGCGATTGTCGGACGAAAAGTCCATTGCATGCTATGTATGTTGATGGTTTTTGGCTTGCATCAATAGGAAAATACAGTGTGGTTTTGACATTAGTTTGTGATGCTTCTAAAAGCAGAATCTTCCTGACCTGCATGTATCCAGCTTCAAGCTGCTTTTGCCTTCCCATAGTCTTTAAATGGGTGAGATGCAGTTGGTGCAAATAAAAGCCCATCAAGACCCTAAACCACATTTAAAATGTGCCATGCCCACTAACGCATAGTGATCAATCAGATTTCCGATGACTGGTAAGAGACAATTTTTGATTCACTGCTATGGTTTCCTGGACTGCCTTGCTGTGTGGATTGGTGTCCTGAATAATACTATTTGTTTTACAATGTTCATAAGGGGAAACAAACTTCTGGCAACACCTACAGTATGCCTCTCATTGACAGGAGTTCTGAATGTTAGCCTACGTGTGCAGTTACTACTTCTCCATTACTGGGTCACAGCTTGGCAAGTCTGGAAAAAAGATGAGTTAAAGTGATGCAACACCAATACCACCAGCATCCCACACCAAAACCACCAGCATCCCACACCAATCCCGCCAGCATCCCACACTGCCAGCATCCAACACTAATCGCACCAGCATCTAACACTAATACCACTAGCACCCAACATCAATACCGCCAGGTTCCCACACCACCAGCATCTAACATCAATCACACCAGCATTTAACACCAATACCATTATCACCCAATACCACCAGCATCCAACACCAATAATTGTGTGTGTATTGTTTTGATGGTTTGCATGAACTGTTAATAAGGGCATGCAACATACCATAGGACTTCCTATCTAAGTATTTTCATTACATGTATTTAAAGAGAACTATGGGGTCAGGGCTTTTCCCCATAGTGTCCTCCCGTTACCCTAAGGAGAACAAACTAGCGTCCTCCCGTTACCCTAAGCTCAGTATACTGTGAGCTACTGCTCGCGGTATACTGAGACGCCGGAGCGGATACCGACATCGATCTCGAGATCCGCCCAGCTGCGTGAGTGACAGCTGGCTCTGCCTATCTAGAGGCAGAGCCAGCTGTACCCGCCCCCTCCCCCGGATCGGAGCGGGGAGGGGGGGAATCCAGCCCCTCCCCTGTCATGGCAGAGAGCCGTGACAGGATCGAGAGGTGAGCGAACGCCGGTATATGTTCGTTCACCTCCCGATCTACTGAGCCGACCTGTGACAGTCTCATTGTCACAGGTCGGCTAGAACTATGAGGTGAGTGAAAAGCACCCCCCTCATAGTTCTCCTTTTAAGCATATCTAGTTATCAGAATGCAATGTTTCGGTATAATGCCCCTTTAAGATAAACCTTCATTTGTTTTTGCCGTTATCGTACATGGAGTAGAGGAAAATGACCAGTCTAACCAGTTCTGGGACCAGGCTGAGAAATTGCAAAGTCACTGGGCTAGCCAGCTTTCAACTGAAAAACCTGAGAAGAGAAATCTGTGTGTGACCCTCCTGAACCCGGCTGAACATGGCTGAACCCGGCTGAACCCGGCTGAACATGGCTGGGTGTTTGAAGTGAACTCAGTAAAATTCAAATGTGGTGAAGTGAGGTCTTGGAGCAATTACAGAACTGTAATCAGAATGTAGCAAAAAACAGCAAAGATCAATTTAAGGCTTCCTGTATACCGAATACATTCATTACATGAATTGAAGTATATCTAAAGTCAACATTTTCCCCCCATTTTGGATAGAGTAGGGAATGGTCGAAGTTGATCTCAGGAAACATAGAACTTTCAGCCAAATATATTTCTCAATAGCCACAAAGGATATAAATTCACTTTGTGGCAACCAAGTGCCTTTGCAAACCCAGTAGCAGTGACATTATCACTGTGTTGCATGTACAGCGAGCAAAGCTGTGGGAGGAGCCCAGCCAGCCCTACGTACTACAGCCTGCCTGCAGAAAACTACAAGAGAGGGCGGAGACAAGACCAGTCACCCTGCACAAGGAGAGAGAGCAGCAGTTACCGGTCTTTATTACAGGAGTTGGCCGAGACAAGACCAGTCACCCTGCACAAGGAGAGAGCAGCAGTGACTGGTCTTTATTACAGGAAGCTCCAAGTATCACACTGGATTACTGCACAGATCTGGAAGAAATACATAAAGCTCACCAAGATTCAAGGAAGAGTACACATGACTCTTGTAGGAGGACAATATTTGCTGATCCTGGAGTTCAGCTTTACAACCCTGGTCAGGTTTTGATGCCATCTGTTGGGGAGATTTCCCTATACCTCCTGTCCTGTAGAAACAACAACATAGTTGGTGGATCTACAGTCAGAATGTAAGGTGTGTGGTGAGCTTTAATAAGTGTTCACAGGTCAAACAGGGTGGATAAAGCTCCTTAATGGGTATTTTTAGTAACATGGTTTTGGGTGGTGTGGCTTACTCAGGCTTAGTTAACATGAGCGCCATAAGAGGCCTCCTGGCACACATTTTCAACACCTGCCAACCGCCCACTTAACTACCGGTGAACTCTTTCTTGTTACGCCAACCTAAATCTGCATGTGCAATTGTGGAATGCTCTATCGCGTCCATTTTGATCCCCCTCCCATGTTGTCTTTTCTGTGCCCCTTAGGGCCAGTGCCAACAGGCTTTGAACTTGCATCGATGGTATCAGTTGAGATGCATCTGAGATCATTCAGAATTCATTGACGGGTACATCTGACATGCAGTTGACCTCCTTCAAGACGGTTTTGCCTTCCCGTAGATTTGAATGGGAATGCAAAACCTGCTTGAAATGAAATGCACAGAAGTCTGTTAATGCCGGCCCGTAAATCCTCAGCGAGGCAACTTGAAGTCCACCAACAGCTTGTTAGCTCCATGTTCTTCTGCTGAGGTTCTGCAGGCCATGCTCCTAGAAGCATTGTAAATGCTTTATGTGCACATTGCTCTGCAGACCACCACTGAGACAGAAGCCTGGGAGAACTAGGGTGAGATGATGACATCACTTCTTCCTGGCAGCTGGGGCCACCATAGCTCTATCCTCTATCCTATCCAAGTGTTTGGATTTTCTTCAGCCTGCTGCATAGTAAGTGTCTGCTCTGGGCATGCATTTTATTCGTGGGGTACGGTCTTTATGTTTCTCACCGGTCTGTTTAGTTCCTGACAATATAGGTATCTTCTTTTTTTCCTTTTTTGGTGATCTGGGATCTATGGAGGAGCCAGACATGCTTTTTCAGAATGAAGGCCTCTTTGTTTAGTGTATTCAGCAATACAAGGAAGGGGGGTCTTCCTCCTTCTAGAGGATTCAGGGCACGTTCAGCGAGAGGCGAGCAATCCCCCTGGGCCCCTGCAGAGACTGCATATCAGGCTGCAGGCTGGTTTTCTCTGAATCTGTTTCTCAGGTGCTGCTCGGTGGATGTGATAGTTGAGTTTACCTTTTAATTGGTCACCTCTTCTCTTCTCTGCTTCCAATCTGAATTTAAATTCATCTCTGCGGCATATTCATCCACTTACATGCTGCTATACTGCTAGTTAAACTTTATATGTACCTGTTGGAGGCCACGTTGATAAGGAGACCTCTCTGGCACCTCCTGTCCAAACACCCAGTGCCAACTGGAAATGCAAGGACATGAAGTGACCCAACTGCCAGTGTTACAGGCAGTACTAGGTTTGTTGAGACTGGCAGGTGTATAGACCAGTTGACTGTAGACCCCTGGACAGGAGCCAGATGCAGCAACACTGGGTACCAGAGCAGGCGACAGGAGCGTAGACAGGAAAAAGATGAGGTCAATGACACCTATACAGCAAGGTAACCATTCAGGAGACAGGATCGAAGTTGGGGATGCAAGACGAGGTTGGTAATGGTTGAGCAGTGAAGGTACCAATTCAGCAGACAGCATCAGATTTGGGGATTCTAGTAGAGGAGGGTAAAAGTCGGGCAGTGAAGGTGCCTATTCAATAGACAGGATCAGAGTTGGGGATTCAAGCTGAGGTTGGTAATGATTGCATAGTAAAGGAACAATTCAACAGATAGGTTCAGAGTTGGGGATTCAAGATGAGGTTGGTAAAAGTTGGGCAGCAAAGGTACCAATTCAGGAGAGCGGATCGGAGTTGGCGAATCAAGCTGAAATTGGTAAAAGTTGGGCAGTGAAGGTACCAATTTCGGAGACAGGATCGGAGTTGGGAATTCAAGCCGAGGTTGGTAAACGTTGGGCAGTGAAAGTACCCATTCAGCTGATAGGATCAGAGCTGGGGATTCTGGCTGAGGTTGGTAAAAGCTGAGCAGTGAAGGTGCCAATTGAGGAGACCACAAGCAGGTCACATGACCCGGGTCATACACAGGAAGTCAGAACAGCAGCTCAGGTTGCAGATCAGGAACTAGCTGAAGACCTCTCTGCCAACTGTCCATGAATTGCTCCAGTGTAGAGCCGCATTTTGGTGCCAGGCGCGCATGTCCAGCAGGTACCCTAAGCCCAGGGCTCCGTGTCTGAATATGCTCATGTGCCCACACTGGTCGTCTTGTACCAGAACAGACTGGACCATCCTTACAAAATGCTAATAATGACTTCTCTTATTTGCCGATGAACATCCCATAACCTGAAGAAACAAATCCGCC